TTCATGTAAGTTTATAGAAGTTTTAACGGTATCATTGGAAGATTTAAAGTATCGACGTATATATTTATTATTTAGTAGAAATATAATGCATTGATGTATTCCATCATTATTAAAAACTGAAGTTAGAAAAAATCAAAGATGCCTATTTAAAGAAGCTATTTCAAAATGTTCTCATATACCGTGTTATTATTCTCATAACTTACCAAAATGAATATAAATATTATATTCATATTACCGACTTTTAATATATGAAAATTATTAGTTGGTAATAATAGCTATACGGTCTATAGTAAATTAATCAATTCAGCTATATCTGGAAATACATTAAAATAAAAACAGTATCTACGTAACTAAATATAGCGAGTATATGCCCTCGTATCTCTCTATATCTCTATTGCCAGGCATTCTAAACGACCAAGTGTGAAGTTTCCGTATGCACTGCGAAAACTCTCATCCAACTGCCAATAACAAGGACAACGGAAGTACCGACGAACTCCAGTCATCGTTTCTCTTATTAGTACATACATCACAAATGCTTATGTATTTACGTATACGTACTGCCAATGTATTATTGAGCTCTTCCTTTCAGCATTCACTTTTATTTTGCTTTTTATTTTTGTATTTTAAATCAAATTCTCAACAAAATTCTATATACTATGGTATTTATTTTTCGTATTGCTCTGACAATAGCTGTCAAGTAAACAAATTGTTCTGGGAATATATTTTTCTACTAAATGAATAATTCTTGTCTCTTTTCGAATATTGATTTTAATTTAATTGATTTCTAATAATAAGAACTTGCAAGAAAATCTTGTTTTACACCAACTATTTAATTTTCTAATTTATTCTTTAGGCTTGTAAAAATCAGCAATTAAATATTTAAAATATAGACATAATAGATTGTAGTTTTGTAGATATGTATTTTTCATTTTTCATAAAAATCAGAATATTAAAGATTGAAAATATTTAAAAATTTTTAACTTACTTAGAAGAATAATGATTTAGGCCAATACAAATATATATTTAACTGCTAAATTTTTATGACAAATATCATGGTTTCAAGTCCTGTGTCTGGGCCACATCTTAAAATACATATAAGAATCTTTTTGCTTATTTATTATACTAAATAAAAAATATTGTAAATGTGGCATATGTTTTCATAGTAACTTTCAATACTAAAGTACTTGATATACTTTTATAGGGAACTCTCTATATTAAATAGATTTTTTAACATATAAAAATTTTATAACCAACTATCTAGTGCCATTTTTCTTATTTTTACTGATGTACAAATATAATTCAACAGATTTTATTTATTTATTTTGAATTAACATACACTATGTAATGTAAGGAATTTAAAAAAAAAATTAAAGATTTTATTTTGTCGTGTGAGGATGAAGTATTGAACAGAAACAATAAAGAGTTTTATACAGATCTTAAATTATCTTCAGCTGTCTACTAAGGTTTCGGTTAAATAATCTATAAAATTCTGAAAACCTATGGACACAAAAAATCGATACAAAGCAGTTTTTCTGTGATTTTAATATTACATGAAAATTTTTTACTTTGGTCTAGAAACTTATTATGTTGAAATAAAATATATTTACGCTGTAATTATAAATATTGACCAAAATGGCTGTAAATTAATGGTTACGTATTACTTTCAAAATTGTTTTATTTAATATAAATATAAATTCTTTTCTTTTATCAATAATATTTTTCCAATGTGATCGCGATCGATATAATGTGATCGCGCTGTGGATTTTAAGAGATTCCATGAAGATTTGTTAGCCAGTGGTAGGATTCATCGTAAAATAGAGAAAACAGAGAACGATGTAGGATGCAGTAAGAATATAAGATTTACAAAAAAGTAATAGTATCGTTATTTTAGCGCAAAAATTTGGTTTGTAGTTTATCGATGCTACATCGGTATTTATTTGCATGAAGTGTTTGAGGACCTTCATGAATTATTTTTTTGGAATTTAATTGAAACACTAATAGCAATTGAGGGGAGTGAAATAGAACCAATTTGTAACTGATTCATTTTATTTGAAACCGCGTACCAGCAGAATAATTGGATTATAAAATTCCTTTGATCCTACTCTTTATGCTTAGCTTTTATTTGTCTGAGCTTATAATAATGTAAAATTGAGTGATTTCTTTCTACCATATTTTCGCATAGATTTTTTCGTTGCAAATATAATTTTTTCATTATCATATCTGATAAAATAACCTTAGAAAGTCTTTGTAAAATTTCATATTGGTATATAATAAAACTTAAGTTACCTTCACAATCCAATTTTATAAATTATTATGATTAATTAGTGAAAGTTGTGGAGGATAATAGGTTTATTTATATATATTTATAAATACAGTAAAGGTGATCTATATAGTATTTAATTAATTATGTTAGCTTTGCATCATTTTAGACTTTCTATCCTACTTCATAATGTAATAGTCTTTATATTATTTTACTATAGTAAAGAAATTAATGTCATCAATAAAGTACATGCTTAATATTTAATTTATGCATGTATTTAATATAAATGCTTTTGATAATAATATATTCGTTTATTTACATATATTTAATTCCTTTCGTTAAAAACATCTTATTTATAGGATTAAAATATTGTTCTATTACTAATGATTTACAAAAGATTTATTATTTATTAAATGCCACAATTAATTATAATAAAAAAAACGCGATTCAAAAGGCTGTAGTTAATTAATTATATATTATATACAAATATATATATATATATATATATATATATATATATAATACTGTGCTAAAATTGTAATAGTTAATTAATTAACTTTATTTATATTTATTAATCCGAATTTATACAAATTTTTATTATTTATTTATGTATTATTTTTAAATAATTAATTAAGCAATAAATCAAGATAATTATAGATATATTTGGAATAGATTGAATAAGTTAAAAAATTTAAGACAATTAAAAGAACAACTACAGAGTAATTAAAGTCAAGTAATTGAGAGGGTAAAAAATCGGAAATGAGAAAGAGACGAACTGCTTCAATAATAAAAAATTTCAAATACAAGCTGTACAGATGAACGAAGAAAAGCACGAAAAAAGTGCGACAAAGTAAGCTAAAAAGAAATAAAATGATAGAATAAAATAGTAGCGGATTAAATGAAAAAAAAAGTAATAAAAGTAAAACATCTTGAAAAATCAAGAGAAAGAAAGAGAGAGAGAGAGAGAGGGAGAGAGAGAGGGAGAGAGAGAGAGGGAGAGAGAGAGAGAGGGATAGGCAGAGTGATAGGAAATAAGTAGAGAGCGATTGAAAATTGCCGTGGAAGTGTACAAAGTAAAAGGAAAATTTTGCCTGTGCGAGTGGAAGTTAATGTTTAATTTAAGACAGAGCACAGCGGTTCCCAGCTTGTGACGTGAAAGTTATATCCGGCCGTTGTTCTCTTTTGCATTAGAACTTGAGATATATTACGTAGTAGCCAGAGATAGAGAAGAATTACGAAATATTCATGTACCTATCCATGTGCTTAATAAAAGATTCATATTTATCATCAATTTGTATACATTTTTTATATGTTTCAAATTTCAAGATGCTATAACAATTTAAACTATTTAATTCTACTTTAATGGAGGAAATATTTCGATCGAGGAAATAATTTTTTAAGTTTGTAAGGAATTTAATATTATATATATATATATATGAAAATATTTTTTTTAATTATTGTTTGATTATATTTGCTTTCATAGTATTTTAATAAATAAAACATTTCATTAATAAAATATTTAAAAATATTTTATTGACATTAAGTACACCACGAAAATTCTTTCTGCAACAAGTATTGTTGAAAAATTAGTTGATATTAAAGTATTATTTCCAAATATTAACAATTTTCATATAATTAATTTGAATGATTTTTAATTGTCCTTGATATATTCACGATTGAATATAATTTTATTTTTGAAAATATGGATGTATATTAAAAATTTCATTAAATTTTCATTTACAGCAGAAACATTCAAGTGATTTACGATCTTTGCATACATCAATTAAACCATGTGTTATCTTAAAATAAAATATGAAAGAAATTGATACATTTTATTGAAAATGTATGTTCCAGAAAAGATGATATATTTATACAAGAAATATTGTAGTTAATAAAACTCGTTTTAATTTCAAGTTGAATTTCAAGACAAATTAAATTCAACTTAGCTTTAAAATTAATTCTTGTAAAAGTTATAATATAAGACATTATGCTTTTATTAAATTTTTTCTTTTATTTTAGTAATTGTTATTTCATCTGTGCAGTAATATTTCTTTTTATGAATTCAAATTATTTCATAAAAACATACTTTATGAAGAAACAACATTTATTACTATCTAATTTTTCATTAATTGGCCATACATTAATTCATGCAGTATGTGCTTGTATTTACTTTACTTGACAATTTATTTTATAGTGTTTGCAATGAATTTTCCCCGTCAATTTAATATTGAAATTTCAAACTTGAAAAGTTATGTTAATATAATGAATTTATAATATCGCAGTAAAAATGGGTGCGAAATATTAATTGATTTTTTATTAAAGTATAAAGCGTGAATTTGAAAAAGAAACATGGATTCATTAAAATGTAAAAATGAAGTATTTTTATTCCAGTGCATATTAATTATATATGTATGTATGCATATTTCCATATTCATTTCATCAGAATTTAAGAGATATGATATTTTCGTACTTTAAATGATTTTCGACCGATTATGTTCATGATATATTTAAAAATTTCAATTAACGGATTATTATAACAATATGAATATTTTATTAATTTTTCATAAATATTATAGTAAATATTAATATTCGAAGTAACAGAAATAAGTGCAATGCAATCTGCCAATATTTTTCGTCCTAAAATTATAATAGTAGTACATTCAAATATATCTTACTATATACATTTTTAAATATAATGCGGAGCCCAAAGATTGCCTGACCCGTAGATTTTTTATTGCAGTGGCGTGCTCAACAGTGACGATGACAAAGTGTCAGGCCGCTCTAAGGAGTCTACAGGCATTCGAATTTTTCAAGCCAACATGCCTCTGTAGAGAACCCCATGTCGACCCAGAGTGCAACAGTTTCCGCGATTTCCTCTTCGACCATCCCTGCATCTATGTTATGAAGAAAGGTACGTCGTATTTTATAAGCAATTTTCCGGTGCTTTGGTGGGAGGAGGGGTATTGCGTCATATAAACGATGGACTTTATTGAAATTCCAGGGCTTCATTGATTTTGAGGTTCTATTATAATTAAAAATATTGATTGAATCGATATTTATTTATAACTCGAATACAAATAGTGAATTTTCGAACTTTAAATAACACAATGAAGATGCTTGAGTATTTATTATCCATACGGCACAAAATTAATGGATATTATAAGCTATAATCGTCAAATTATAATGAAAAATATAAAAAATTAAATTAATATTTTAATCAAGTATTAATTAAATAACGCAGCGGTATTATTATTAATTGATACTAATTTCAATTTATTTTTTTTCAAATCTTTGTAATATGTTAAAATTATTTTTCTATATTATTGATAATAATTTTTATTTTAAATTATTTAAATATTTAATATTATATTATTACAAACATTTGTATAATGGCGCGTAATAAATGCCTGTAAAATAATATATAATAAATCTTAGACTAATATTAATTTATTAAAGTAATGTATGCTGAAGGAAACAGTAAATTTCTAAATGGCAATAGGTTGTTTAAACATAAGAAATTTTAGCTATAGTTTCTATATTGATTAATCGGTTTGATTTACAAAAGTGTTATGAATATTTATTTTTACATAAAGGGCACTCAAATTAATTAATTAATGATTGCCTTATCCATTTAACTAAATTTTTTCGTCACGAAAAAATCTTTTTCCACGTTTTTGCGGTACATTAACCTACCATTGCTCCACGGTAAATATTTGTTCCCCTTTCGTCTCCTTTATTCCTTATCCATGACTGCCTGAACGTTTTCATGTTAGCCACTTGAGGAAAGAGTTAATTAACGACTACGATATCATTTTTTAGCGAGTAATCCTTGAGTTATTACTTCCATTTCTTCATTTTTATAAATAAATTTACTCAGCCTTAAATGATGCTTCATTTTTCTGAAATTCTTTTATATGAAATTGGATATACAATTCCGAATATTAACTCTTAATTTGTATTGGAACAGCAATATTTTTCTAAAATTAAATTAAAAAATTATTCGAATTTTAATATCTTCAAAACAATATGAATAAATATGAAAATCTAATAAAAATTAAATGTTAAAAATATTTTAATATGTAATTAAATTTTAATATATAATATCTTTAATAAATACTCTTACTTTTCTCTATCATTTTCTCGAAATAATTTATGAAATTATATTTCATGCAATTATAGTAATTATTGGAATTATTAAAATCGTATTGTAATTTCATTAAATTAGATAATCGAGGATTATGATAGAAATTTAATTTATACTACACTGTTTTATATTCGTACAAATACTTAAATAGAAATAATATTGTGCTAATATATTGTGATAGTGTTGAAATAGCATTTAAGATATTTGTTTAATATTTTATAATTTTGCAGGTATTGTATTTAAAAAATTGTATCGCTATTTTATCTAGAATAATAGAATTTGAATAAACATAGTTAACTTCAAATAAATACAATATATTTACTGTATAAATAATGAATAAGATGAAATAAGTCATTCTGTCATTATTATGTTAATTGCTTCTTTCAATATTATCTATTATTACTAATTAAAATATTCCTTCTAAATTTCAAACGACAGCACGATATACAAAATATCCAATTGCAAGCCATCGGATGTTATCTTAGTCCCGTTATGAGCAATCCAACCGAATTTATCGAAGTTATAGCTCTGCTTTTCAAAATTCAGCGCACGGTTAATAATCTTCAAATGTTGATGTTCGAACTCTTGGTGTTCGAATTGTGGAGATAAATCGGAAACTGTATCGATAAGATGTATGTCGAATTCAGCTGCAATGTTGCCAACATCAACTTCTCCTAAGGGAAAGATTCATCTCCATCATTATCCTACGTCAACATTCTTGATCGCTTAGGCAAAATGGTCGACTTAATGAATCTATTAATTTAAATAAATTTAATTGCTGGATGATATAATATTTTTTAACTTCGTTCAGGAATAGTTCATCACTCTTATTTTTTTTACTGCTTTGGTAAAGCAATATCTCCCCGGTATATGAATATATAAATACATTACAACACTTCATTTTTTATAATCAATATTAGAAAATGAAATTCAATGGAATATATTACCTGAACGTATATTAGAGGTTTAGTATTCTACTATTTGATTTAGTAAAGATTATAAATGAAAGTATAAAATCGTGAAATCTTCAAAAACTAGTACTTTACTTTCCCGGAGAAATTCAATAAGGTATTTAATATGTTAGTAAGTCTTTTCAAAACTTTAATATCATTTTAAAAGATCACGGGGAAGTTAATAAATATTTAGAGGATTTCAGTTTCGTAGTTACTCGCGATGCATTTTCCAGAGAATTGGATGAATTATGAACCATCACAAAAAGTTTCATGCGATATTACACTCAATTAAAAGCAGACAACTAAGAAACTCCTAAAAGCAACACAAGAAAAAAGAAAGAGTAAAGAAGCCAGGGATGAATGAAATATACATAAATATACTTGGAGCAGGAGGAAGATTTTTGCACTATATTTCCGAAGTGAGAAACGACGACTGGATAGAGGCGTCGAGATGAGATGCTCGAATAGGACTAAATAAGTTGTGCAGTTAAAACATTTTTAATCCAAGGTATAATTACGTTTCAACTCGCTCTGTGTTGAATAGCAGATCCAACGTATATAATGAAAATCCATCCTCTAAACTTTCGCGAGTGCGCGAAATCCGATTATTTCGAATCAGTCACGAGGCGGCGGTTATAACACAGGGATAGGCACATATTATTTAATCTATTACGTGCACAACTCGTTTTTCCGAGTCTCTCAATTTCAGCTTTAGTTTTGTTTTTCTTCATTCATTTTTTTTTCTTTTTTATCTCGTAAGCTGTAACACTTTTCATTCAGATTATAAGCGCGTTCTAATTAATTTCTGGTTGACAAATTGATTTCAAATACAAATTCGTGCTGTGGTGTTGAACAAGAAAATACTACATGCAATTATAAACGATAATTTTATTTGTAATACAGGAGGCAATTAAAAAACATATTATTTTTTATTTTTAATAATGTTGTAATAATGCTTTGAGAAAAGTTGAATATACGAATATTTTTTAGTGTCATTATGGGTGCTGAATACCAAGTACTTTTATAACCTGTAGTTTATAAAATTGATGTTAAAGATTTTTATATCTGATTTTTATCCATTAATATAACGAAAAAATTAAGTCTCTTTGAAATACAGTTCTGTGTTGTCATTAATAGTTTCAGTTGAATTTATTGACGTTCTTAATTAAATTCTTGAATTTATATCTTAATCCATATCAATATCATTACCCATCTCATATCCTATTTACAGTGAATTATCTACCATCTACATTTTTAGCAGTTTAAAACCAATTGTACTTAATAACAAATAATTTATTTAAAGCAATTTAAATCTTATTATATTGAATTTAATAGACACTAGTATGTATTGTAAAAAGCATTCAATAGTTAAATATATTTTAATAATCATGTAATCAATCATATTAGAAAAAGTCAAATAAAATAATTAAGAAACCTCTAACAATGATCTAACGCCATTAAAATCATCAGAAGATGAATAGTGAATTAAAGTAATTTCTATAGAATGATTGCTTTAACAAGATGCTTAATGGAAGATAATTACACATGTGTTAGCGATAACTGTTTATTGAAAAGCACGAAAATATCAATGCCCATGTGTTTGAGACAATTTCCCTGTGCAATTAATGCCAACAAGATACCAAGCCACTAGTAGATATTATAGTATTTATACGAACCAAGGGAGATTCCGAATTTTTTCTCCCATTTCGTTTTTCTTCTACGCAAGGTAATTACAGTGATAAAAGAAGCTACTTATGATTTACTATTCAGACTAAAATTTAAATGCTACTAATGCATATCATTTGAACATGGTTAGAATTATGTATAAAGCCAAATTGTAAATACAAATTAGTACTTCTAAATTACAACGCACTTTCAGAAATTGTCAAACCATAGTCTCGAATAAATGAGTCATTTTAAAAACAATCATCTTACTGAAAAAAGGATCAAGTATTCAACGTAGCTGTGACTAATCAAATTATAAAAAGTGCATAATATATACAAATAAAAGTATAATATTAAATTTTTCTATAACATAACAAAACACATAATCAAAACAAGTTCCTCCAGTCATATTTATTACATAAATTGTTTATATTTTTTATTCACTTTTGACTAATCATATGTCATAATAATTAATATTTATTGGTAATGCTGATTAGTTAAAAATAATTATGGATTTCATGAAACTCTTGGATTATAATTTACAAAATCGTTACAAACTATCTACAAATATTTTCAAATAAATATATTTATTTAATATTATTGTCTTTATATAACGAATTATAAATCACAAAATTATGAACTCAAATCATAGTGTAAAGAAATTTATTATAAAACAATTAAAGTTGGATCTATTCACTGTTTATACAGTATATATACTAAATTATATTACTAAATATTTATTCTTATAAAAATATGCAAACTTTAATTAATAAATATTTATTTAGCGTATTTATGGACATACTTTAATTTTAATAAATATATTTTAGTAGAATATTTTCAGAATTTTAATACTGCTTACACTAATAAATTGAAATCAGTTTTTAAAATAAATAAAATATTTCATGAATTTAAATTAAATAGTTAAATATGAAGAAAAATCTATTACACATAGCTATATAAACATCTACACAGCTAAATACTCACGTACATAAACATTCATGCATACTTAAATAATATTGTGTAATCTTTAATTAAAAAGCCCAGTCAACTATTTAAACTATATGTATTAATTGTATTGTCATGTATTAAAATATCTTTAGTAGTTTTTCATTATAAAAGTATCAAATTATGTTTATTTTCAACTAAAGA